TACTATCGCGTATCAGAAAATGAGAAGCTATGGTTGTGTATATCGCGAAACAGAGCCGTATATGGATAATATCTGTCGCGAAAATGACCCGTTTATATTGTATACAGCATAGATATTTGATTATCTAATCATTACACAAATCGTACTCTTACTCTTATATCTGGCAGAACTTATTTGCCAGAACTTGAGCAAATAACTCACGTGTGCGATTCACTCGCTTACGTCACGGTCTCATCAAATTGCGCCGAACACTCGCCGTAAATCGCGCTTCATTTTACCTCGGTTTTGTTTTGAAAACTCGTGTAATTTCTCGCGGACGTGATAAAAAATTTAATTTTGACCTCAAAATCGATATAAATTCATTTTTTTAGAAATAAATTTTTTTAAATTAGTTTGTTTTGTTAATAGATATGTTTGTTATTCTATTGCGTTCATTTTGATACCTCATTTGTTTAATTTGATCGAAAAATAACGATTTTATGATTTTTTTCACATTTTGGGTAAATTTCACTATGGCGGCCATTTTGATGACGTCATAACCGGAAGTTCCTCCCAACTTACGCAATGTTAACATTTATTTTCGTGATCAGGGCGTCATGGGGCTTCAGAAAAATATTAGTTCGGAGGTTTGTGGGGGGGGGGTGCACGGTGGACCCTCCTAGCTCCCGGCCTAGAGCTATTGACCACCCATGCGCCTTCACGCACTATCGTAACGTGGCTGCCAAATCTACGTATCTCGCTTCCCCTATATAAATATATTGACTACCGTCACGCTTCACCCTCGCGCTATATATGCTGCTATGCATGCAAACACGTATAGAATTGAGTGTAGATATTATGAGAAGTAGACAATAGGAAATCTATTCCCTATTATCTACTTCTGATATTATGTATATATTCAGAGTTCTCCGCTTCCAGGAATTTCATCAGTAATTAATGTGGTACATTAATGTGAACCAGAACCACATTCAGAACCGAATTACTTTGAATTTTGAATAATTCTGTGCAATTTCAAAACCGCAAATTCACTGCTATCGCGTACGTACATGTATGCAATGTTCAGCTATCGTCTCTGTCGTCATCTCACTCACCCCCATCGCCCCACCTATCTATATCTTCCTCTCCAATTTTCCACCGCTGCGTCCGAACTACAACTTCAACGCTCATAAGGTCTATATCTTCCTGGGACACTGCGGCTGCTGTTGTTGTTGCTGCTGCTAACGAGGGGGTTGCCTTCCTCCCGCCTCCCTCCCCTGTCCTCCTATCTCCCTCCCTCAACACCTCTAGGATCCTTTATATTTTTTGCATTTTCTTTTTTGAATGTCACTTGGTTTCTCTGACAGTTTACGTAATAAATGTATTTATCTTGTACAATGTATTTATTTTTCGTGCTTTATATTTTTTTTATTTGTCTCTACTTAGTATACTCCCGTACCGCCTCACTAATGTTGCTACTAAAAAAAGTTCTGCTGTTACAGTTGCTGACATTATTGTTTGTTGATTGTTGATATGATTAATTGTTGTTATCGACAACAGCAGCCGCAGTGACCGGCAGTACCCAGGGAGACACAGACCGTATCAGCACAACTTACCCGCCGTTGCATCGCAAAAGAGGCCTGAGAGCAGCATCTTAATTACCATTTAGCAGCAGGGCCGTAGTGGCCTCCCAAAATGTGCTACTGCAGAAAAATGTAGGACCACCCAGTGATAATATCAAGAGTGGCGGTCATGGTGTGTGCCGCAGGCACGCATGGCTAACGCCACGATCGCGAAGCCGATGCTGGGGGTCTGGCGGTACTCCCCCCGAAAGTTTTTGAAATGTAGAGCCTGGAAATGGCAGTTCCTGCATTTTCAGGCTATGTTGAAAGCAACCAATTCTGATGATTTTAAAAGATCAATTTGTAAATTTTAAAGATGAATGTAGCTAAAGCTGATGTTTTGACTAAC